AGCGCCTGCAGAGGATTTGATCCAGACTTGAGGACGCCCACTGGAGGATGAGGTCTGGCTGTGGTCAGCAGGCACCCCGCTGTGGGAACACCCACTGATTCCCTCCCCCCAGTGGAGACACCCCGCTGACCCCCTCCCCCTCAGTGGGGACTCCTGCTGACCCACCTCCCCACAGTGGGAACACCCACTGACACACTCCCCCCAGTAGAGACACCCACTGACCCCCTCCCCCGAGGGGGGACTCCTGCTGACCCGCCTCCTGCCCCGGGGGGGGGTCTTCATGCACATACACATCACTGTGAGGAGAAGGGAAGGGGACGTGCGGGGGCAAAGGCTCCCACTAACGGAAGGCTGAGCCCACAAAGGAGGCACCGCCTGAGCATCGCCTCCTCAAAACCCAAGATTTCCTGCTCCAGCCGTGAAACCTTGCTAATAAATATTCACTTTTTGTAACAAGAATCTCAGATACCTGCAGCTTTAGATGAATTTCCACAGCTGCCACCAAATGTCTCTGCTCTCACTCCAGATCCCTAAGGACCTGGAAGGAGTCTTGGTTGGCACCTGCCCCCTGCACCAGCTTCCTGGCCAAAGGCACAGCACAAGCTGTGCTGTCAGCTGGGAAGGGTCCCTCCCTCCACTCAGGCCCTGCAGGAGTTCCTGAATCACGGTGACAAAAATCGCTCCTGACCCCCAGGAAGGGTCTGTCAGGAGGGGCAGAGGCTACAGGGGCTTTGCCAGGGCCACTCAGGGAAAGCTGAACCTTCTTATTTGTCACCACGATGGGGACACAGAAGAGGAGAGAAAGACTGCAACAGAAGCCGTGGACGCAAGGGCTCTTAGGCACAAAAACCGTCCTGTGACATCTCAAGTCAAGTCCCAACAGGAAATCTCCCCAAGGCATCATCCCACCGCCCACTCCAGAAACCCCCGGAACCACTCAGCTCCTGGGAGGGCCCGCAGCACCGCTGCTGCCTCCCCAGGAGCTGGGGTGGGGCACAGGAGGCCAGAGGTGAGTCCAGCCACACAGAGCGCAGGGTGCAGAGGACAGCGGAGCAGGCAGAGCAAGGTGAGCAAGAACCACTTAAAGTCACGAAACCAACCCTTTCCTGTATGTGATGTTTTCATGGATGGACATTTGCGGGTTATTGACAGATTGGGGTGGTTTGAGCAGCGGCACGCAACATACAGACGGAGACATGGGTTTTCGCATTGTATGTTGGTTGGATGGCGTGAGTCAGCAGGTAGGTTAGGGTACGTCAAGAACAAAAACAGGAAACAAAAGAGAAGATGAGTCATCAGAACAAGCAACAACTCAAACTCTGAATACTTCACTAGAAAATCTCCAGATCTGCGTAAACTGCACGTTTTTTCTTAAAATGCATCAAATCAAAACACAGCTTGAAATCTGGGCAATGCAACAGGGTGGCATTCATTTGCATTCTTGTTTATAATGCAAATCCAAAGATGACTCACAGACACTTGTTTTTTATTTCCAGGCAAAGAAATCAATGTCAGTTTTATGCAAGTTTGGAGCCCTCTCCCTAGGTGCCCTGGCTAAGACTGTTGCTCTATTTCGATTTTAAGTTGAAGATGGAAACTGACACTCATATTTTTGCCCAAGAAAAAAAAGGATGTCCACGAGGTAAACAATGAAGTGGCTCTGGATGAGAAGCAGACAGACAGACGACCACAGCAATCCGTGACGCCTCCTTTGTCTCCTCCAGGCGCACAGGGCCACGGCCTGGGCGCCAAGGGCAGTGGTGGCTACTGAGGAGCCGAGCTGTCAGACCAGCTGGCTTCTCAGAGCAGCAAGGCTTGACGGTGGAGGCCAGGGAGAGCCTGCTTGAAGCAGGGCCCGACCTAAGCACAAGCAACCCAGAGGGCAGACAAAGCACTCAGCTGCTACACTGCAGGAGCTGGCTGCCTTACACCAGGGCCACGCTGCATTACTGGGACATCAGCAAGGTGCCCCTACCTGCTCCCACCTCTCCCCGAAGCCAGAACTCTGGACCTCCACCCACTCCGGGAAGAAGAAACTCCCATGAATGTCCCCACAGCTGTGACCGGACCGGGTTTCCGAGGGGAGGCCCACAGGCATGAGGAGCTCCTCTAGGAAGCCACCCTGGGGCTGAAGCACAGCAGACACCGGGAGACACCACTGCACCGTGAGGGGATGGCAGTTTCCGGCTTGTTTGCCTGGATTACCAGATCATTAACTTTTAAAAACAATGAAACATACCACATGACAAGAGAATATGTAAAATATCCTAAAGAAAATAAAACAAATAGAAAGGAACACCGGGTGGGTGTTTGGCTACACTGGGGTGCCTGCATCCAGCTCCCTACTGCCGTACCCTGGGAGGTCAGGTCAAGTAGTCAGGTCCCAGCAACCTGTGTGGGAGACCCAGATGGAGTTCCAGGCTCCTGGCTTCAGCCTGGCCCAGCCTTGACTGTTGTGGGCATCAGGGAGTGAACCAGCGGGTGGGTGACTGACACACACATACTCTTTCTCTCTCAAACACACACACACAGGATGCCACTACCACTTCTGCAACCCTTCCTGACCGTGTCTCCATCCCTCTTCTCTGGATTTGAAGACTGCTCTTAATTTTTTAATGACTGCTTGTCTTTACGGTTTTACCATAAACTCACCGAGTGCGCTGTGCTGCCTGTTACTAAGCTCGGTAACGGGGTCACCCTGCGGCACCTTCTCTGCCTGTGTTCTGACAGCAGGCAGACACTGCTCCACAGAAAGACCTGCTCTGTCTTTTCTATTGCATGTGGCACTTCCTCCTACTGAGGAGCACAGAGCAGTCAGCCACCGTGAACACCTGTGGGGACCACCTTCAGAGTCAGCTGGGTAAATGTGCTCTGGGACCCCCCACCCCGCCGGGCTTCCGGTTGCTCTACCCACCAGGTTCTGCCAAACTTCCCAAGACAGGTACACCAATGGGGGCTCCACACCCTTGCCAATACTCAGCATTGCCGGAATTTCCAATGCCTGACAAACGAGCGTATTATCAGTGGCATCTCAATGCCATTTCAGGGTGTATTTCTCTGATTACAAATAAGGTGGAGCATCTTTCCTTATGCTAATTGTCCATTTGCATATTCCACTTTGAAACTGGCACAGCCTGGCTGCTCTCACCTCTATTTATTTATCTAGGTGCCAGAGGGTCCCAGCCCCTCACTGATCCCATGCAGTCTCATGGATCAGAAGCCATTTTTTGCCAATCCCAATTCAACGTTGCTGACCTCACTCTCTCCTCCACACCCCGACCCAGGGTCCAGCTGCAAGGGATGGCCAGACTTCCTTTGGGAAGGCTGACAGGAGACTCCAACCTACTGTGTACAAACTGTACCTGGAGCCTCCCAGCGGACCCATTCTGCACTCTGCACACACTCCTCATCCCCACCCTTCCAAGTGCTCAGGATGGGAAGCCTGAGGCCATCCTGGCTCCTCTTCCACACCTGTCCCTGGCTGGTCCACTGGTCTGCTCTCCAGCTGCACCCAGCCCCAGCAGCTTCTCACCCCCTGCACTTCTCACCCTCCAGGCCTGACACTGTATCCACCTCTACATCTGTCTCTGAGGGACTCAGCTCAGGCCAGGAGCACCAGAGACTTCGTGTTCTGCACGTGTTCTTATTGTTGTCACCTGACAGAGCACCTGGCCTGCTCGGTGCACCCAGAGCCCCCCCGCAGACACAGCCCCAGCCGCTCATGGCGCGGACATCCTGAATCATACACCTCCTGCCCTCTCTCACACCACCATTCCCCCCAGATAAACGACTGGCACTGAATTATTCATGACCACCCCGAACTGGAGTACGCTGCTTCCTCCCCTGCCCCTGTTCCACGTTCTCAAAAGAGAAGCCAGAGCTACATCTCAAAATCCACATCAGACCACTCCTCTACACAACCCACCACCCGCCCTACCTTACTGACTCTGGAGAGCACAGCCCTGCTCTGATGGAGCTGCTCGCCCGTACCCAGGCCGTTCACCAGCCCCTCCCAGGCACAGGCACAGGACAGGCACGAAGAGGGAAACTGTCTGCAACTCCTCAGTTACAATCGGGGCTCTGTACGTCTGCATTAACAGACCAGTCCCATCCTGAAGTCCTGAAGGTAACTTTTTTTTTCTTATTTTTTTTATTTTTTTTTTAACTTTTATTTAATGAATATAAATTTCCAAAGTACGGCTTATGGATTACAATGGCTTCCCCCCCCATAACGTCCCTCCCACCTGCAACCCTCCCCTTTCCCACTCCCTCTCCCCTGAAGGTAACTTTTTAAATCTTACGAGTTTGAAAGTTGTGTTTCTTACACTGAAGCCTTTCATCCACCTGAAGTCTATTTCTTGTGGACACCAATCAATTCCCATGTCGGCTGTTCTGACCGCTGAGCTGCAGTCAGCAGTGTCCTAACCAAGTTCCCGCAAGTACGGGAGCTCTGACCCCCCACTGCCCGTGTAGCTGTCCCTCAGCCAATGCCATTATCAGCACAGCTCTGCAGTGTCAGTGTATGCAGGACAGACCCTCCCCTGCCACCCAGCCTCTTCCTCTTCTATATCTCTTGGCTGTTTGGGATTCTCTGCTCTTATAAATTTTAGAAACAGTTGGGGCTGGAGTTGAGGTGTAGCAGGTGAAACTGCCACCTGAGGTGCCGGCATCCTGTTTGAGTCCTGGCTGCTCTATTTCCCATCCAGCTCCCTGCTAATGTGCCTTGGAAAGCAATGGAAGACACCCCAAGTGCCTGGGCCCCTGCGCCCATGTGGGAGACCCGGAAGAATTTCCAGGCTCCTGGTTTCAGCCTGGCCCAGCCCTGGTCATTGGAGCCATTTGGAGTGAACGCAGCAGATGGAAGATCTCTATGTCTTTCAGTCTCTCTCTCGCTCTGTAACTCTGCCTTTAAAAAATAAAAATAAAAAATCATTTTAGAAGTAGTTTGTGAAGTTACACAACACAAAAAACAAAAACTTTGATATTTACTGGGCCTGCATTGAATCAGCAGACCCTTTGGGGGAAATCAATAATTTTTATGAAACTGACTACCAACTTATTAACATGATTGTAACTCCTAGCCTTGTCTTCTTCAATGTCTTTCAATAAAGTTTAATGGTTTCCTACATAAAGGTCTTGCACACTTATACTGTGAGGTTCTTTGTCAGGACTGTTGACTTCAACTGTGACGCAACCTTGCTAAACAAGGCAATCAGTATTTGGTTATTTCGGCTTCCTGATGAGGCTCTCCCTGTTGATGGGGATGCTACTTTCCTGCTCTCACCTTCGTGCACTTTGTTTTCTCCTGGCTTCTTCACTCAGTGCTCACTGAACACCTGCAAAGTGGCTGGCACTGCTCCAAGCTCTGGGCACAGAGCAGTGTGCAAAAGTGATGACCTCCGACCGGGGGAAAGATAGGCTGAACTGACGCAGATCTCATGTTCTATGCCGAAAGCAGCACTAACAAGCATTTGTCCTTTCTGGTTTTAAAGGGAATTCTTTCTGAATTTCACCACTATACATGATGTCTTTTAAAATTAGGGACTGTTCATTCTTTTTCTATTCTCTGGAAGAATTTAATTCTGGAATCATATTTCTTTGTATTTTAGATAGAAACCTAGTACATAAACCCATTAGAATTTGCTGGTTTTTTTTTTTTTTTTTTTTTTGGTGTGGGAAAATTGTGTACCAACTCAACTTCTTTAGTATTTTAATAAGACCATTGAGGTTCTTATATTTTCATCTGTCAGATTTTATTTATATATTTTCAGCATTCTGTGTGCCTCAGTTTTCAAGTACATGGCATAAGCTCTCAACATCCACTTGATCTTTCTTTCCCTTGTGGTTAATCTGGCCGGGTTGTGTCCACTTTCAAGTCCTTAAAGAACCAAGTTTAGACTTCATTTTTCCTGCTGTGCTTATGATTCCTACTTCTGCAACTTCTGGTCCTATATTTTCTTCTACTTTATTGAGCTTATCCTGCTGTTCTTTTTCTGACTTGTTAGGTGCTTAATGCCTTTTAGTCTTTCAGGAAGCACTAAGACTGAACTTCCTGCAAACACAGTCATTCCTCAGTGCTCTGGAGCAGCTGGCTTCAGGACCCCATGTGCACGCCAAGAGCAGGGGACACTAAAATCCCCTACAGAAAATGGTGTACCCTGAACAGAGCCCACACAGTGTTCCTGCACTCTGTGAGTCATCTCTGGATTACAGGGTAAACGTTATGCACATAGCTGCTACCCACATTGTGCAGGGAATAATGGCAAGAGGGAAAATCCTACAGGTTCAACACAGATACTATTTACCTTCAAATATTTTCTATACGCGTGGCTGAGTCTGGAGATACAAACCATGTGGACCTTGGCCTGGATACGCACCCTGTCCCGCTGTGTCCCTGGAGTTTAAATATGCAGCACTGTCATTGTATCTCTGTTGGACGTATTTTCTAATTTACATTATTATTCCATCTTGGCCCATGACTTATCCAGAAGGTCCTGCCCTCAAAGGTGCCGACCCCACCCTCTGCTCTGAGCACTCCTGCTCACTACACCCGCCCCCAACGAGCTTTCACTCCCCAGTTGGCCACAATGGCCAGGGCTGGGCCAGGCTGAAGCCAGGAGCCAGGAGTTTCTTCTGGGTCTCCCATGTGTGTGCAAGGGCCCAAGCACCTGGGCCATCTTCTGCTGCTTTCCCAGGCTATTAGCTTGGAGCTGGATGGGATGTGGAGCAGCTGGGACACAAATCAGCACCCACGTGGGATGCCTGTGCTGGAGGAGGCTTCACACTGGCCCTTGCCTCTTGATGCAAGGACTCCCACAGACTGCCAGAACCTGTTTTGCAGGTGGAGGTGAACCTGCTGGATTCTTCCATTCCTGATCCAGACAACTCTAAGGTGGGGTCCACACTACCCCCAGAGCTTCCCTGCAGGAGTGAGCCAAAAGTTCGATCCATGGAACTGCTGATAGCATCTCCCTTCCTCACCACCACATTTGCAAGAAGACACACTTGAGCCACAGCCTGATCCTAATACAGCTGGCCCCAGTTGGTTCCATGGAAGCACTCTCAGGATGGGGCACATGGGCACTGCTCGCTGGCCAGACTCTCACTCTGTTGGTGTGAGTGAGGTGGCAGCAACTCCTGGGGTGCTACTAGTGCTGATATCAGGGGTGCTGTGGCACAATGGGTTAAGCTGCCACTTGCAACACCAGCACCCTGGCTGCTCCACTTCCGATCCACCTCCTTGGTAATGTGCTTGGGAAGGCAGCAGAGGACAGCCCAAGTGCTTGGGTCCCTGCTGCCCATGTAGGAGACCTGGAAGAAACTCTTGGTTTTGGCCTGGTCCAGCCCTGGCTGTTGCAGCCATTTGGAGAGACAAGCAAAACACAGCCTAGCTAGTTGGATAGAATCACCACAGTGCGCAGCAGGGCTGAACTAGCAACCAAGCACACAGACCCACAAGACCCTTAGTGACAGCTCACAGACCATGGCTCTCCTAGAGCAAAGCAGGGAACACAGAGGGTGGCCAAGGGCCACTGCCTGATGTGTATGGGGTCAAAGTGGTCAGCATGGACGACCAGAAGGCTCACGCAACACTGCCATGGACAACCACGCCCTTGCAAGTTTCCCAGCCACAGGCAATTTTCAGAGCCAAAGCCCACAGCTTACAGGAGAGAAGGACCCTGAATCACGGGACAAATAGATCCAACTCCTTTTCTAGAGAGAAGAATCCCTGGGTATTTTAAAGGCTGCTGGAAACTAGGTCCAAGCCGACATCAACATTGGGAGGCTGAAATGGTGCTGGGCCCAACGGCAGAGCATGGACACAGAGAGGCCAGGCCGCCTCCCAGGAGGCCCAGTGTGTCCACCAGCCCCGCCCATGTCCTAGATATGTCTTCAGGGGCAAATACAGCTGGCAGAACCCTGGTTTCTTGGCAGGTGGACTATGGGTCACCACACAATAGCAAAGGCCAAGCAGGCTCCTGGACACCAATGCCCCAGCCAAAGTGCCCAATCACACAACTGCACCCTGTGTACAGCGGAGAAATCAGAGGTGGTGATCCACCGCTCACCCTCACTTGGCTCAGCAGTGCTGCTCGTGCAGGAAACCAGGGTCACAATGGCTGGCAGACCAGGCCAAAGCAGGGTCAGGGACTCGCTGCTGCATGAGACCTGACCTGCTCTGCCTCTGGACCTCGGGATACAGCTGCAGGCCGGGTGAACACATGTTCCCCAGGCCCATGGCTCAGGGGGTCAGAAGCAGCTTGCGCTCCCTTCTGACAACTGTGGCCTGGCCCCTGGCCCCTGACTGTCCCACGATGCTGGTGACAGGTAGGACTGGGGCGCAGGACCTGATGCGCCACGCGCACTCCAGGGCTGGGGTGATACATCTTGTAAGGATTTGTGCGCCTGCCACATTGGGGATGGAGCTCTGAGGCAAATCTACGTGGTGCTATCATCGGCCCTGCAGCTTGGGCCACAAGACCCCGCTGCTCCCACGAAACCAGAGGTGTGGGGGGGGGGGGTGAAGATGCTGCACAGCCACCAGGCAGCAGGGAAGGCAGAAAAGCGGCACCAGTGAGAGGGCCAATGCCTCGCTCCTGGCCCCCATGGGAGCTGCAGGCCATACCAGTGTGTAGGACCTCAGAGTGTCCCCTCGCAGTGGTGAGTGGCCATACTCCCTGGCAGCTCTGGGAACAAGGAGATGGGCCCCTAGCACCAAACCTAAGCCAGTATAGAGGGCTGGCCCAGCCCTCCCACTGCACATCTCGGCCTCCTCAGCTTGGCCCTGCTGCTGCCTGGTGGGGGGTTTGCTACACTAGAAGGAAATACTCGTGCCCGGCTATGGGTGGGCTGGCTGCACTGGTACAGGTCTCCCTAGGGTCCCTGCAGGGCAATCTGAAAAACAGAGGTGAGGCAGAGCTCTGGGCAGTGTCCCTGGGCAGCCCCTGCTCAAGTGGACAAATAGGCTGCTCAGGTCAGGCTAAGCATGGCAGTATCCTAGGCAGGGCAAATGGGGTCTGGGGAGGAGGCACCCAGATGGGCCCTGGGCATGGGCCCCGTGTGCAGATCTACCTACTGCAGCCGACTCCCACCAGGGAGCACTGAAACCCGTGTTGGGATGAGCTGGCCCACAGATTGTCAACCAGGTGGGTCCTCACCAGTCCCCTCATTTACAGAGTAGACTCCTGGATGGAGTGACTGTGGTGGCCAAGAACCTCTCTGCAAGGCCAATGCTAACCATGCAATTGACAGGCCGTGAGCAGAGGACAATCCTCGGCCTCTGTGTGTGACTGGGCTTCATGGGGCTGAAGTGACCCCAAAGAGGACAGGATGCAGCCATAGCCCAGGCGTGGGTCTGCCTTTCCTGATACAGCGCCTTGGTTGGCACTGGTGTCTGAGGGCTCAAATCAGAGACTGCCCAACATGGAACTCCATGTGACATCAACTTGGGATGTTCACAGGGCCCACCAGTGTACACCATACCACACTGCCCAGAGGTGCCAGCCCTGACCACTGGCAGGGGCAGGGGGAAGTCTGGGTGGGAACTCAGGGGTTCACTGGAACCTTTTTGGACACTTCCAGGTCCCGTCTGGACCGTGATCAGAGGGTTACGCAACCAGGGTCAGACAAGGGAATGGCAGGCAGCAGCCTGGGCTACTGTGAGGGCCTGGTCACCTCATCAGGCCAGCAACCAGAGTGGTACAGGCTGGCCACAGGTCAGAAGGGTAGTGGAGCAACAACATGGACGTCAGCCCCCCAGGACCCACACATCAGTGGAATCTCCGGCTTGTCTCCCAGAGACTGTGACCAGAACCACCCTGAAGAAGGAGCAGGATGAACACCGTGTGAGGAGTGGGCAAAGCTGAGCAGGGTCAGGCAAAAGCCCTGGGCCTCCCACTTGGTCCTATTACAGTGGTGCACAATGGTCCTGGAGTCCCAACAGCTGGGGCTACCAAAGCCTACTCCACCTGCATGCAGGGAGCCAGTGGTTCAGGATCAACACAGCAGGTACACCCTTTACCCCAGCAGCCACACAGGTAATAGTGCAGCTCCTGTCCCCATCGAGAGGGCTCCAAGAAGTGAGCAGTCCTTGTCTCCAGAGGCCCCCAGGGGATGACCTGCATCCATGTCCAGGACTGGGCCCCTTCCTGTCCCCAGCCTGCTTCCCATACCCCTGCCAGCTTTTCCTGGGAACGCTTATCAAGAAACAGCTTTCACAGGAATCCTCACTTCAGTGCGATTCCTAGAGAACCCAACTTAAAACCAACAGTGAGATTTTCTGCCACTTATTTCCCAGTGTGTTAAACCTAAAGAACGCTGCTTTGTGATTTTGATTCTTTGGAATTTGCGGAGACGAGTTCATGTGCCCAGCACCGGTCAGTTTTTAGGAGTGATCCATGTACGTGAGCTAAGAATGAGCATCTCCAGAGACAGTACATCCACCTGCATCAACAGACCTGACGTGCGAAACCTAATTCCTCACTTATTTTGGTTTATATATTCTGATACCGAGTTGTTAGAGGCACAAAGGTAAAGGATTCCTGTCTCTCCAGTCAGCCGTCGCCACACAGCTCTGGGTGGTCCCAGACCACCAGCCTGGAAGGCCTTTGGGAACCATTCTCTCACCCAAGGAAGAACACCTGCCAAGAGCACAACCAGCCCCTGAGCTCCAGCTCTGGAGAGTGGCTCCATCTCTCCAGGGTCTCCTGGGGAACCATGGACCACGATAGCAGAGGCAGGGCCTGGGGATGCACTGAGGGGAGCACCTTCTGGAAGGAAACCACTCTGGGGCCCTGGAGGGAACAGCAAATGCTACTCACCGCAATCTCTGTTACCAAAATATCAGTAATACTTCCCAACACCGTGACAAAGTCAAAGACATTCCAGGCATCTCTGAAATAGTTCTAAGGAAAAAGAAAAGGTGGTTAGTACAGGCAGTGTTGGTACAGTTGGTACAGTTGGTACAGTGAGGCAGGGGTTGTGAGGGCTCTGTTGAGCCAGGAGCTGATCAGGACAGGGCTGAGGGCACAGGACAGACAAGCCACTCCTGGAGGCACGGCACATGGCCAGTGACAGCAACACCACAGACATCTCTGGGCTAGGGCAGGTACAGAACCCAGAGCTGTGTGTCTAGAGAGGAGGGGCCTGGCCCCGCCTGCCTCCCGGGACCTGGGCTGGGGACAGAGTCAGTGCAGCTGCAGACGGCACCACATGTGCGCTGGGGGCTGGGAGATCCCAGCTGCACCCTGCACAGAAGGAGCCAGGATGCAGGCCACCAGGGGCAGGGAAGGAGCCGCGGCACATACCAGCACCCCGAAGGCGATGATCTTCAGCACACACTCCATGGAGAACATGGACGTGAACACGATGTTCAGGCATTTCAGCATTAGCTCATACTCGTACGGCGCATCGTAGAACTGCCCGGGGAAAGAGGCCATCCATCCTGGGCCCAGTAGCCCCAGGACGCCCTGCCCAGAACCACCAAAGCCTCCTGCCCGAGTACAGGGGCCAGACGAGACTCCACACCAGCCCAGGCAGGGGATGCCCCTCCCTGCTCTCCCTCAAGGTCTCCAGCACCTTCTCACTACCTCAGCCTATAGACCACATGGAGCAGCGGGTCCCACGGCACCAGTGGCTGTCTCGGCCTCAGCTGCCGCTGCCGCCTGGGGGCTACACGCACCTTCATCATCAGCACCACAGTGTTGAGGGCGATCATAGCCATGATGAAGTACTCAAAAGGTGGGGACACCACGAACGTCCACGTCTTATACTGGAACGACTGCTTGTTCTGGGGCATGTACCGCGTCAGGGGTCTGGCGCTGATGGCAAAGTCGATGCAAGCCCTCTGCACGGGGAGAAGGGAGCACCAAGGCGCTGGGAGCCCGCCGCCTCCTGCACACTCACCCACCTTCCCTCACCCTCACGGGCAGCCTGAGGGCAGGAGGCAAGCTGAGGCAGTGCAGGACTCCCCCACCCAACCCAGCCTCTCGCTCCACGGGGGAGGAGGCCCTGCCCATGCTGGCGGCCAATGGCAGCGGTGAGGAACCCCCATGCCGTGGTCTACTCCCATCCCAGCAGCCGCACGGCACCCACCTACCTCGTTCTTCTCCAGGCTGCACTCGGACATCACCTTGTCCCCCTGCTCCTGGAAGGTGATGATGATCAAGGCCACGAAGATGTTGACAAAGAAGAAGGGAAAGACCACAAAGTAGACCACGTAGAAGATGGAGAGCTCCATGCGGTACCCGGGGCTCGGGCCCTGCTCCTCGTAGGTGGCATCCACAGAGTGTTTCAGCACCCTGGGCCGGGCGGAGAAAGGCCTCGAGACCCGCACCACAGGGACGGGGCGGGGGTGCCCTGACCACACCACAGGGATGGGGCAGGGGGCCTTAACCACATCACAGGGAGGGGCAGGGGGGGTCTTGACCACACCACAGGGACGGGGCGGGGGTGCCCTGACCACACCACAGGGATGGGGCAGGGGGGCCTTAACCCCATCACAGGGAGGGGGCAGGGGGGCCTTGACCACACCACAGGGAGGGGGCAGGTGGGGCCCTGACCACACCACAGGGATGGGCGAGGGGCCCTGACCACACCACAGGGATGGGGCAGGGGGGCCTTAACCCCATCACAGGGAGGGGGCAGGGGGGCCTTGACCACACCACAGGGAGGGGGCAGGTGGGGCCCTGACCACACCACAGGGATGGGCGAGGGGGCCTGACCACACCACAGGGATGGGGGGGACCCTGACCGCACCACAGGGTCATGGTGGGGCGGGGGAGGCGCCCTGATTGCACCACAGGGATGGGCGGGGGCCCTGACAGCCTGCCTGCTATAGGGAGCACTCACATGGGCCACCCTTCCCCTGTGGACACCGTGAAGAGCGTTAGCAGAGCCCAGAGCACGTTGTCATAGTGGAAGTCATATTTCTTCCACTGCCTCGGTTGAGCTTCCACTTCCTCCTTCTCATAATCCAAATACTGACCCCTGGGGACACGAGCAGAGGGGGCTGCAGGTTAGAGGCGAAGGCTCCAAGTGGAGCATGCGGCCATGGCCAACTGATATGGGAGGGGCACTGAGACCCTTCCACGGGAGAGGACTGCAACGCCAGGCACTGGGGCAGCCGCAGCCACTCCTTCTGGAAGCAAAGGGATTAAGTTGGACCCCACCCCGCTCCATACAAAAAATGAGTCTGAGCCAGATTAGACACCTAAACATAAATACCTAAATGCTAAATGTATAGAAATCTTAGAGGAAAACATCAGGGCAAATCTTTACGACCCTGTTAGGTGGGAAGGGATTTTTAGGACACCAAAATCATGAGCGGAAAGAGGGACATAGAAACAGCTGCCTCAGAACTGAAAGCTTCTGTGCTTCAAATGGCACCTCCAGGAAAGTGCACAAGAGCCTGCAGGTGCAGGGCAGAGCGGCCCAGCTGTCTGTGATGCCACTCGCTTGCCACACAAAGCCACCAACCAAACCTTGGTCTGCTGCAGGGCTACTGAGTTTTCCACTTTAAGGTGAACTATTAGTTACCACATATCCGAAAAAACATATGGTATCTGTCTTTTTTTTTTTTTTTTGACAGGCAGAGTGGACAGTGAGAGAGAGAGACAGAGAGAAAGGTCTTCCTTTTTTGCCATTGGTTCACCCTCCAATGGCCGCCGCGGCCTGCGCGCTGCGGCCGGCGCACCGCGCTGATCCGATGGCAGGAGCCAGGTATTTATCCTGGTCTCCCATGGGGTGCAGGGCCCAAGCACCTGGGCCATCCTCCACTGCACTCCCTGGCCACAGCAGAGAGCTGGCCTGGAAGAAGGGCAACCGGGACAGAATCCGGCGCCCCCACCGGGACTAGAACCTGGTGTGCCGGTGCCGCAAAGCAGAGGATTAGCCTAGTGAGCCACGGCGCCGGCCGGTATCTGTCTTTTGGGACTGGCTTATTTCACTAAGCATAATGGTTTCCAGTTGCTTCTGTTTAGTTGCAAATGATAGTATTTCATTTTTTTCCTATTGAATAGTATTCCATAGTGTGTACACATACACCAAAATTTATCCAGTCATCAGCTTATGGACAACTGGGTTGATTCCATATATTAGCTATTGTGAATTGAGCTGCAATAAACACAGGGGTACAGATAAATCTTTCATATACTGATTTCATTTCCCTTGGAAAAATTCCCAGGAGTGGGATGGCTGGATCATATGGTAGGTCTATATTCAGATTTCTGAGGTATCTCCATATTGTCTTCCATAGTGGCTGCACCAGTTAACATTTCCAAAAGTAGATTAGGGGACCTTACCAGCATTTGTTGGTTGTTGATTTCCGTATGAAAGCCATTCTAACAAGGAGGTGAGGTGAAACCTCATTTTGGTTTTGATTTGCGTTTCCCTGATGGCTATTGAACCTGAGTATTTTTCATGTGTCTGTGGGCCATCTGCATTTCCTCTTTTGAAAAATGTCTGTTCAGGTCCTTTGCCCATTTCTTAACTGGGTTGTCTGCTTTGTTGCTGAGTTCCTATAGATTCTGGATATTAACCCTTTATCAGTTGCACAGTTTTTAAATATTTTCTCCCATTCTGCTGGATGCCTCTTCACTTTGCTGAGTGTTTCTTCTGCAATGCAGAAGCTTCTCAGCTTGATGTAAATCCCACTTGTCAATTTTGGTTTTGACTGCCTGTGCCTCTGCAGTCTTTTCCAAGAACTCTTTGCCTGTGCCAGTGTCTTGCAGGGTTTCCCCAATGTTCTCTAGTAATTTGATGGTACTGGGTCATAGATTTAGGTCTTTGATCTGTTTTGAGTGAATTTTTGTGTAAGGTGTAAGGTAGGGGTCTTGCTTCATACTTCTGCATATGGAAATCCAAAGAGACTGACCTTGATCCAGAGATTGATTTTAGCTCCTTTGACAAAGATAAGTTGGTTATAGATGCATGGATTGATTTCTGGTGTTTCTATTCTGTTCCATTGGTCTATCCATCTGTTTTTGTTCCAGTACCAGGCTGTTTTGATTGTAACTGCCCTGAAGTATGTCTTGAAATCTGGTATTGTGATGCTTCTGGCTTTGTTTTTGTTGTATAAGATTGCTTCAGCTATTAGGGGTCTCCTGTGTTTCCATAGGAATTTCAGCATTGTTTTTCCTATTTCTGAGAAGACTGTCCATGGTATTTTGATTGGTATTGCACTGAATCTATAAATTGCCTTTGGAAGTAAGAACATTTTGATGCCACTGATTCTTCTAATCCATAAGCACAGAAGATTTTTCCATTTTTTGTCTTTTTCTATTTCTTTCTTTAATGTTTTGTAATTTTCATAGAAGAGATCTTTTATGTCCTTGGTTAAATTTATTCCAAGGTGTTTAATGTTGTTTTAGCTACTGTGAATGGGATTGATCTTAGAAGTTCTTTCTCAGCTGTGGCATTATCTGTGTATACAAAGGCTACTGATTTTTTTGTGTTAGTTTTATATCCTGCCACTTTACAAAACTCTCTTATGAGCTCCAATAGTCTCTTAGTGGATTCTTTTGAATCCCCTATATATAGAATCACATAATCTGCAAATATGATTTGACTTCCTCCTTCCCAATTTGTATCCTTTTGATTTTTCTTTTTTTTTTAAAGATTTATTTTATTTATTTGAAAGACAGAGTTACAGAGAGAGGTAGAGACACACAGAGAGAGAGAGAGAGAGAGAGAGAGAGAGAGCAAGCGAGCTTTCATCCGCTGGTTCACTCCTCAGATGGCCACAATGGCCAGAGCTGCGCTGATCTGAAGCCAGGAGCCAGGAGCTTCCTCTGGGTCTTCCACGTGGGTGCACGGGCTGAAGGACTTAGGCCATCTTCCACTGCTTTCCCAGACATAGCAGAGAGCTGGATTGGAAGAGGAGCAGCCGGGACTCGAACCGGCGCCCATATGGGATGCTGGAGCTTCGGGCCAGGGTGTTAACCCACTGTGCCACAGCACTGGCCCCTGATTTCTTTTTCTTGCCTAATGGCTCTGGTTAAAACTTCCAGGACTTTATTGAATAGCAATGGTGAGAGCAGGCATCCCTGTTTGGTTCCGGATTTCAGTGGGAATGCTTCCAACTATCCCCATCCAATAGGATGCTGACCGTGGGTCTGTCATAAATTGCCTTGTGTTGAGGAATATTCCTTTTTTATATATATAAAGATTTACTTATTTGAAATCAGAGTTACACAGAGAATGGAGAGGCAGAGAGAGAGGTCTTCCATCCGATGGTTCACTCCACAGATGGACGCAATGGCCAGAGCTGCGCTGATCTGAACCCAGGAGCCAGGGTCTTCTTCTGGGTCTCCCACATGGGTGCAGGGGCCCAAGGACTTGGGCCATCTTATACTGCTTTCCCAGGCCATAGCAAATAGCTGGATTGGAAGAGGAGCAGCCAGGACTCAAACCGGCGCCCATATGGGATGCCGGTGTTTCAGGCCAGGGTGTTAACCCGCTGCACCACAGCACCGGCCCTGAGGAATGTTCCTTCTATACCCAATTTGCTTAAGGTTTTCATCATGAAAGGGTGTTGTATTTTATCAAATGTTTTCTCTGTGCCTTTTGAGATAATCATATGGTTTTATTAAGTTCATTGCTGTGATGTTATCGCATTAACTGATTTGTAAATGTTGAAACATTCCTGCATACCAGGGATAAATTCCACTTGGTTCAGGTAAATAATCTTTTTGATATGCTGTTGGATTCTATTGGATAGTATTTTGTTGAGGATTTTTATATCTATGTTCATCGGGGAAATTGTTCTGTGATTCTCTTCCTCTGCTGTATCTTTTTCAGGTTTAGGAATTAAGGTGATGCTGGCTTCATAGAAAGAAATTGGGAGGATTCCCTTCCTTTCAATTGTTTTGTGAAGGTTGAGAGGAATTGGAGTTAGTTCTTCTTTAAATGTCTGGTAGAATTCAGCAGTGAATCCATCCGGTCCTGGGCTTTTCTTTCTTGGGAGCATCCTTATTACTGATTCAATTTCCATCCTGGCTATTGGTCTATTTAGGTTTTCTGTGTCTTTATGGCTCAATTTTGGTAGGTTGTATGTGTCCAGGAATTTATCCATTTCTTCCAGATTTCCTGATTTGTTGGCATACAGCTCTTTGTAGTAATTTCTGGTGGTTCTTTTTATTTCTGTGGTATCTGTTGTTACATTTCCTTTTTCATCTCTAACTTTATTGATTTGGGTCTTTTTTTTTTTTTCTTTTTTGGTTAGTTGTGCCAGTGGTGTGTCAATTTTGATTATTTTTCAAAAAAAGAAGCTCTTCGTTTCACTAATCTTTTGGTTTTTTGGGGGGTCAATTTTGCTTGTTTCTTCTCTATTTTTAATTATTTCTTTTCTCCTACTAACTTGGGTTTGGTTTGTTGTTGTTTTTCTAGGCCCTTGAGATGCATTGATAGCTCATTTATTTGGTGCCTTGCCAATTTTTGATGTAGGCACCAACTGCTATAGATTTTCCTCTGAACATTGTTTTTGCTGTATCCTATAAGTGTTGACATGTTGCACGGTTGTCTTCATTCGTTTCCAGAAAATTTTTGATTTTTTTTTAGATTTCTTCTATTACCCACTGTTCCTTCAGGGGTATGTTGTTCAATCTCCATGCATTTGCATATGTTCTAAAGATTCTTGAGTTACTGATGTCCAGCTTCATTCCATTGTGGTCGGAGAAGATGCATGGTATGATTTTGATTTTTTTGAATTTGCTGACTTGTCTTATGGCCTGGCCCGTGGTCAAGCCTAGAGAAAGTTCCATGCGCTGCTGAGAAGAATGTGTATTCTGAAACTGTAGGATGAAACTTCTGTAGATACCCTTCAGGTCTATAGTGTCAACTAACCGTTGTTTCCTTGCTGATTTTCTATGTGGTTGATCTGTCCATTGCTGAAAATGGTGTATTGAAGTCCCTTATTACTACTGTATGGGAGTCTATGTCTCCCTTTAGATCCATCAACATTTCTTTTAAATAGCCAGGTACCCTGTAAT